AAGTAAAGTAAGTAGTAGAGAAGAGAAGTAAGTAGTAAGTTAAGTTAGTAGACGACTACACTCGAGTAGAGTAGTAGTAGTGTACGTGTGTGTGTGTGTGTGTGTGTGTGTGTGTGTGTGTGTGTGTGTGTGTGTGTGTGTGTGTGTGTGTAGAGAGAGAGAGAGAGAGAGAGAGAGAGAGAAAGAGGGGGGAGGCAAGAGCTCAGGAGGCCCAAAGAAAGCTAGAAAATATAGCTTTAATGTGGTTATATTTTTTTAAAGGGCCTTTATAAATTTTTGCAGGGATGCCTAAAAACTTGGTAACAAAGCCAAGTTATTTATGTAAACTGTTCATATTTAATATAATCAAAGACATGTGAACCTACATTATCAACTGTCTTTCCACAACTGAATCTCAAGCGGTGGTTTACAGTTGATACCAAATCTTAACTCTTTAACATCCATGAAAGGTTTTTTTTTTCCATTACCGTAATTGGTGTAAATATACAGGTGGAGATGCTAAAGGGTTAAAGTATGTACTAAATGAATCAATATTTTATGTTTTAGTATCCAACATCGGTTAACACTGTGACTAAGTACACAAACTAATCCAGAAAATGTTTACATTGTATAATATGTGTGCTATAAATAACAGGTGAAGTTAAAATATAACTAAGAATATTCTTAAACATGAATTAAACATAAATACAGCAAAATATAATATTAAACAAAAATAAAACTACTTGAAAATAAGAATACCAATATTACAATAAACACATGAGAATTCAAACGAGAGATATAAAGACAGAAAATAAACTAAATTTTTCAGCTCTCGATCTTATTAAACAAGCATTTTACCATGTCATTTCTATCAGTAATATGTGCAACAATTCTTGCTTTACAACAACTATACATTTCTGATGATTGTATGGACTGAAATAATATTTCAAAAAAGTCTAGTATCCAGCAATTAGGCCTTTTTTTTCTAACCATTTTAGTAAATGAAATGGGCTGAAAGTCATTGTACACACAAAGAACTGAATCCCACTGGATACTCTTTCACAGCTGAAAATTTTTTTGGTAAAATTAAATAATGTTTCTAGAAGAAAAAATGTATATAATTTTATACAAGAAAATACTGATACTGGGACTATTGTAGAAACAAAGGAACAAAACTCAAACTTTTTAAGTGAAATGTTTTTTGTTTTTTTCATTTCCAAAGAAGAATACTGTATGAACAGTTTCACACAAAATAGTTCAAGATCCCTACTTAATAAAATAAACAGCCAATCCACTGACGAAAACATAAGAGGATAAATGTAATTATGCTACAGGAGCATTTTAGAACATTTGTTAAACTTAGAAATCTTAAGTTAAAAAATAAAACATTCTTCCTCTGAAGAGAAAATGATTTAGAATTACTATTTACATTTCAATGTGTGGTATTACACACAGGATAGCCAGAAAGTTAGTTGTTTCAGAGTAGTGTATTAATTGTTTTTAATTTCATCTTCTTTTTTAAGGTGAATGTATAGCATATATGAACAGTACATAAACATATCCCACAGACTGATAAACAACTAATACGTTTAGTGTTGTTATAAAAACAAGTTAAAATTGTTTTTATAAGTTTTAAATCCTATTGGTTTTCCAATATTTCACCAGCTTTAAACCATAACTTTAAAGCTTTAGTGTTCAAATTTTTTATTTTTTTTATTTACACAAAAAATATTTAAGTATGGAGTAAATACTGAACACTACAGACTTGGATCTTGTAACTGAATTCACTTCTAAAACATTTGTATTAGGTCTATATTATTCATAGTAAGAAATCATCTATTGTATTCACAATGGCACTTAAGCAATCATTTAAGGAGATTTATTAGTCACACATGGAGCCTGGTAAAGAAAACTACCTTTGTGAAAAACAAAAATAAAAAAAAATGGTTTCTTACATTGAAATGAACAGTTGTACATTACATAAACAAATTAGCAAGAAACTTACAAAACCAAGATTCTCTTAAAGGATAACATTTTACAATACATGGGCAATTACTACATATTTTTCTTAATTATTTACTGCATTCTACAATATTCTTTAAACTGGACATTTGTTTATGTGGCAGTTGGATATAGTGTGAAATATTTCAGTAAAGATGAATTATTACTCTAACAAAAAATGAATCAAAATAAAACAAAAACATAAAAAAAATCATATGCATCATTATAAAATTAATTTACCAAAACACCCATTATCTGCTGATCTAAGCATCTTTAAGTGTATATTAGAATACTTTGTTATAATAGAGTTGATGCAGAACAGTTCTCTAAAAACATGTAAAAACATTCTGACTGATTAGTCCACACCTGGTTACTGAGCACTGACTAAAGTATAAATATACACATCTTGACACCTAAAACAACTTCACCATTTGGAAATCTCACTTACCAACAAATCTAAATACTTGTTCATTTACCAACAATTTTTTAATTCTCCAAATTTATAATTACAATCACTTGTACATTTAACTTTAAATGAATCAAAAAGGCCTTAAATTTTTCTTTTTATTTCTTTTACCAGTTCTAAAGTAGTGAAATAGTGCTTACAAAATAGACACCATAAACATGTGGATTATTCAGTTCTACAATGCATTACCGACAGTTTTCTTTCTTTCTAAGGATTAATGGTGTATTAACAATACTAATATTTTTCCACACCTACAGATGATAACCTATATGGCAAGGCCTATCATTCATCTATAGCCTGTTTATTCTTTTTTTTTTTTTGTAAAAGATTTGTTTTTGAGTAATCTTAATCTATCAACCAAATTCTTTGGCAAACAATGTGCAGAACACTTTTGCAGCCATTGTATAGTTAAATCAATTTAATTTTAAACTTCTTAACTGTTCAATTAGAGTGAATTTTCTAGAAACAGACCACACTGCTAATTTACAATAAACAGTGTGAAATATGCATTTGTTACAAATTATTTTGGGTCATAACTTTTATGATGAAAAGCAAGTCTAAAAGCATAAAAAAAATGTGAAAAAGGTCAGTTATATCAGAAAATTGAAAAGTCTTATACTGTGTTTAGAGGATTTCCATAAAGCTAAAAATGTGAAAACTTGATCTTTATAAGTATCAAAATGGGCTTAGATATACATTTCAACTCAACAAGTTCAGGGAAATCAACAAAGCAACCTAAGAGCCGACTTGAACAATGCATCTTAACAAACAGTAAAAAAATTTTTTATATGTCTAACTATGAAAACATCTGTGGTAGCTACATTTAAAATTAAACTACTTGGTAGCATTATATAAGTGGTTCTTCATATCATTAAGTTTCAAAAATATTGATAATTTTTGTTTGGGACTACGAACCCTACGTAAGCTTTTTCTGAAAGTTATAAGCTTTGACAACCAAGTTCAGTGAACAATTATAATTTTCAATTAGGTAATTTTCCTACTGAGATTTTTTAACTCTCTAACTTTACTAAAAGAATCTGGAGAGGTGTCTTGTAGCTCATACTAATTCAGAGTGAAAGTGTAGGGTCTCATAAAATCAGTTTTTAAACTAAAAAATGTATTGTTTTACCATTATTTCTCTTATGCTACAACAGAAAATAATTCACTAGAAAAATTGCCTCTTATATCATAAAACAAATACAAATTCTGGTACACATTTCCTACTGATATAAAGTTCCAAGCCTATTTCCTGTTTTAATGAGCGTGGTTACAGTGACTCACTTCCTTTATTAACCATCAACCAAACAAACATACATGTCTGCAGGAATTCTTAATATATATATATAAATATATATACAAGGTATCATATTTAACACTTACACAATATTGTAGTAAATATGTTATCTATGTTTTTCTTGTCTTACATGCTCCTACAGTATTTCTGTGCTATAATATTCTAACCTCCAAAAAAACACACACATACTAAAGATCTTTATTAAGATTCCTCTAAAGAACACTAGTTAACAGTGATCATTTTGTTAGTCTACAACACACACACACACACACACACACACATTGTTTTCAAAGCAACTATACAAATAAATGCATTACAATGTGTAAATCATGAATTGGAACTAACAAGTTAAAAGCTAAAAAGTTAAAATATAATATATAAAAGTTTCTGTTCTCCGAGATTTAACCTGTGTTGAAGAAATGAGATTTTGCTTTATGGTGTTTATGGTGAGGAAAAATATGCATTCTCATCAAAATTACTTATTACTGTTAGATCATTTTATATCTTCAAAGCAAAATGTAAGACCAAGAAAGCAAGTCTTTCTATCAATGCAAAAGCAACAGAATAGAAAAAAAAAACGAATCTTTTTATTTGTAAACACTTCACTGAATGAATGTCTTATGATTTTGGTTTACCATTTCATCTTTAACACTGTTTTATAGTTGTTTGGTTACTTTTCTTGTGTGACAACTACAATTAAGCTTACCTAATTATAACTGATTTCAAATGATGAATATGAAAAGTCTGCTTATTGGACATAAGGAATATCTTTGGTGTTAAGTAAATACTGTTGTATGTAAAAGAAATAAAAAGCATTATTCTACTTATAACACAAAAAAGTGAGTTAAAATGGAAAAAAATGCCAGTTTCCCTAATGACTTGAACTCCTTTCAAATGGTTAGGTTATTGTACTTCCAAGGTCAAAATAACCACAAACTGTAGCCTTGCTAACAATATCCAAACGTGATTTAGTTTGGATGAGAAAACATTCATTCTTTTCTTACCGAACAGACACACAAGTGTGTGGAAACAACCTCAAAAAGTGTTCGGTTTCAGCTGTAAGGATTCATTATAGGATGTTACGATTTGTTGGTATAGATTTGGTCCCTTTATTGTACTGAAAGACATAGAAAACAGATAACGCATTTACTCTATTATTCATTTATTTCAATGAAGAGGATGTCTTTCCAGATGTCAAATCATACACTAACACTGTAAAACTTAGCTGCAGACTTGTTTGTTAGGCATGAATAAGCTTTCAGTCATATAACTCGGATAGTCCAACTGTTACATCTTAGTCCCATCAAAAACCTTAAAAAAATATTTGAAGATCATCTTCTTACTTCAACTTTCATGAAAGAATTGGAAACAGTTTGTACTGACGAATGATATAACATTCCTGTTAATCCTTTCAACACTTTGTTTCTTTAATGATTAACCAAACTTTGGCTATAAGAAACACCATTTAATTTTAACTCTTATATATGAATAACTGGAGCTTAATTTGTCATATTAAGAAAACTGTATACATTTCTTTTTCAACAATAAACACACTATTCAAGCAATTAACACAGAGAAGGACTAACTGTTCATTCATTCAGTTACATGAACATGTTGGGGTATTAATTTGACAAAAAAGCTGACCTTCAACTCAAAGGTTACAATGTCAACCTGCACAAAATATTATAACAATTCTAAATATATATATATATACATGTATATATGTGGCTCTAATAACAAGTATCTAAATTTTTAAACTTTATTTGAATTCCCTTTTTTTCATTAGGGTTTTGAGTTTTGCTTACTGCATATTTATGCCATTTTTAAATATAAACAAATTTTATGATAATAAAGTTGTAGTATATATTCTTCTGTATATGTTAAATGAACAGTGTACATTAATATGTGTGCAAAAAAAAACTAATATACTGAGGAAATCTGTGCAAAGATGATTAAAAAAAGAAAACTTATTCTTTGACATAGTATTTCCTGAAAAGTTGAAAATTATACATGTGATAGTTTAAGCTTGCTCAATCTATATATATACACACACAAACACACAATATATAAATATTTATGGTATTAGTTTGCCAGTTAAAACAGTCAAATATCTACTATACAATCACACAACTGAATGATTACCATATAACTCTGTGCTAAACCCAATAACATAGACACTGATTTCATCAGTTTAACAATCAAAATCAGTAAAAAATAATACATTCCTTTCAATAATCATAATTTTATTTGTAGTTGCTAAATGACATATATTTAAAATCATAACTTTCAACATAAAAAAACATTGCTGATATCTACACAGGTTTTCACTTATCACTGCTAGACTAGTCTAATTTGTATCAATTGTTTTTAATTCTAGTGGCTAGCTATGAGCAGATGTTTGTTTATAATTAAAAAGATACAAATAGAATGAAAATATAAGTACTTAAAAAAAATAAATAAGAACAACAAAAAAAATCATAAGGTAGATTAGAAATGAATTTACAGTCCTTCATGTCTGAAAATGACAAAGGCTGTAAACAGCTCCCACCAAACAGTCCATGGGGTTTTTTAGCAGGCTAGTGTCATATTTTGATACTTTGTTTACAAAACTGGGCAGTAAAAGTTTATTTGTATTGTTTGAATTGTACTGTTTTTATGGCTAAACTGAGATATGTTCTCAGTATGCCATTAAACTATGATAACCTCTAATCAATATGGTAGCCTTTGCAGCTTTGTGTCATGCAGAAAGTAAGTAGTTCATCATATGCAATTTAGATCAAAATCCTATTTACTAAAACTCTTCTTGTTAGTCTTAATTTGCTAATAATTAAGATCCAATTTTCTGTAATTTAAACTTTGTTTCTCAGTTACAAGTATTTGATGTCATTCAACTTTCAAAATGTCAATAAAAAAAATATAATTTTAACACTTATCTCATCAATTTTACTCAAAAATGTTTTATAACTGATATTTTAGCATCATATAACATTTATTTAATGTACTTTCACAGAGAAATATGAAAATTATTTTTAACATTCATTAATGTGCAGATCTGAGAAGCCTTGCCTTGAAATGACACATGTATTAATTGTTTTCTGTTTAGGACTTTTCTGCCCATAATGAATTGTTTTGTTTTCCATGTATTATTTTTCCCTGTCAATAGTTTTATTATTACAGCCTTTTTTTGCCATTATGTTATAATGTCACTGCATGTAGTCTGAACAATTATTAATGAAACTCAGCTTCAAGAAGGAAAAAGCTGGATAAAAACAACTGGACATCAGAGATTCTAATCTATTAATATCAATACAGAGTAAACAAAGTGTTTTTTGGCAATAATTTGTTATCTGTTGACATAGTAACTATTTGAAGCTCCTTTCAGAGTATAAACAAAGGATTTTCATGTGAAGTTTACAACTCTTAGGTACAAACTGCACATTTGGTAACTTCTTTTTTACAGTTTTTTTACAATCTTTTCATGCCTGAAAATGTTTTTGTGTTAAATTATATTTGTTTGACAGCTACAAGGATACTCTTCTGTAACAAGACATCAGGCAAGTTTTAGGTTTAGTGTGCAAACTATTTAGGTGAAACAAATCCTTTTATTGAAAATATATTGTTAACTTTTATTATATTCAAACACAAACAAATGAAAGAATTTTTCATTCATTTAAAACAAATTATTTTTGACATTATTATTTTGTAAAAAAATAAAAATGCCATATACATGCTTTCTTCCATCCTCATCTGTATGGAACAAATTGTTTCTTCACAAAGTAGTAATATCTCAAATGAGTATTACCCATTTTAAATATTAGGTCATCAAGAAATTAATGTCACGTTTTGGAACACTTTCATTAAACACCCCTTCTGGCTATTTGTTTATTTTATTTCCCTATATACATATATAAAGGTTTTCAAAGAGACCCAAAACTCTTTTGCTTTGGAATAGTTCACTATTCTTCTTCAGTATTCCTGAAGAAGAATAGCAAACTATTTGAAAGCACTTGAGTTTAGGGTCTCGTTTGAAAAACATTAGAACTTTTGTATGTGATCCTGTGTGCTAATTTCTTAAACAGAATAAATATATACAGTGTGTGGAAAATATATTACACAGTTAGTACAGTTGGTATTATATGGTTGGTACTAAAAAAATAGTTCGAAGACAGTTGAAACCAACTTAATTATCATTTGTTTCAGTGTAAGATGTTAGAAATTAAACTATTAGGACCTTAAGAATTTAATGTCGCGTTTTGGAACACTTTCATTAACCACCCCCAAAAAATGTACATCATGTATAATAGTTAAATGAACCACCTAAACGTCACGTTAGTGTAGCCTTTATAATGTGAAAATTTAGTACACTCTAATCCCTCATAGTGATGGCACATGCTGAGACACACATTCGGCATGTAATGCTGTTTGAATACAAGAGAAACAATGCTTCTATAGCCACAAAGAATATCAAAGAAGTTTATGGAAATGTTTTGAAAGTTCGTAAGTGTCAACGATGGTTCATCAAATTTCGTTCAGGTGACTTTAGCCTTATAAACTGTGATGGCAGGGGCCGAGATGTTGGTATTGATATTGATGCTCTGAAGATGGTTATTGAGTCTAACCCAAGGCAATACACTCATGACTAAGAATATAATTGGCAAAAGTCATGATAAAATGGCTGACAAAGCTTATGGTATTTTGGAAGATGAGATCCAATGCACAAAGAATATGCCTTAAAGAATGGAAAGTTTATATCAACAGTAAAGGAAAAAATTAGTTATATAGCTCACCTCCATCATCAGCAAGGTTTTCAAGCTTTACTTCCTCCAGTGGAATAATGTGTTGCTTGTTATACTAAATCAAAACAAGTTACTGAATCAACTCAAGACAAACAAATTTCATTTCACTGAAAAATATACCACAAACAAATTCACATCTATTCAATCATATCAACTTAAACTTTACACATTAAAATAATGGCTATTTTCTAGTTATCTGTATAGTTCATGGAATGTTCTAATTGAACTTTCAAATAAACTGAAAGTTTATTTAGTTACTGTAATACTGAACTTTTTATAGAGCTTCAGAGTAGACTACACAGTTTTGAAATCTTGTACGCATTTCAGCAAATTTATCTATTTGTGCGTGTTTGTTCATATATGCAATGAATTTCCTTCAATGCTTGGTGAGTCATTAAACATTTGAGAGGTGTTCACATGCTTTTGTTATGGTACTTTAAATGTATGCAAGTGATATTAAAGAACAATGTCTTTGAAATGGAAACGTGTCTTTGAAGGAAGCAGAACAAAGGCCCAATCACTCACAAGCTTCACAAGTTGATCACAAAAGGTTTTGTCAAGCCAATTAATTCTAATAATCAATTCCAATTACCAAGACAATGGCAACAATGTTGTACCTCAGTTCAGTGCCAAAATTGAAAAAAAAAAAAATTAAGCTACACACAGTTCAAAATAAAGAAAAAAACAATATACTGTTCCTGACTAACCAATTCTGATTCACGCGAGACAAAATTAATCCACATTTGAAGATCTTGCAGACGAGGCCATGAAACTGCAATTTACATATTATAGTGTATGCATTTAAACCAGGCCTAAACATAAAATATATTTGAGATTACTAAAAGTAAAATGTGAGATTCACAGCAATTATTTGCAATAATTAACATTTGTTTTAGACTACATCTTACCATATAACGAAAATAGTTAAGTAAAAAGTTAACATTAAGATGTAAGCTTAGTGTTCCTCTATTTTACTACAGACTACACTTTGAATTACAATGTCAACTTATAGGGCAAAAGTATTTTGAGTATTTTTTTTGCATGGAAAGCACTATTAATTCAGTACTGAACAATCAAGATTAACGAATTCTTTACTTTAATTACCTTTCTTATTCACTAATATTAAATATATATATATAAAACTTACTATAATTTCAAACCAGTACATTTTTACCCATGGCACAACAACTCATAGAATGGTTCTGAGTTTTTTTTGCAAATACAAACTTTTAGCTCCTCTTGATCAATTTGATATCTAATTACAGCCACAGCTATTGAGGATTCCCTCTTGTTGAAAACTAGAGACTATTCTTTTAACAATCATAACTCTGTTTATATTTCCTTTTGCTCATATTCTTCTTGTACAAATCAGATTCTTAAAAAAATTAGGAATGTACTGTTTGCTTGTTTGTTTTCATTGGTTTGTTTGTTTTTGTTTCAGTGCAAAACTATATAATTGGCTACCAGCACTCTGTCCACCACAAGGAACTGAGTCTCCGTTTCTGACATTGCAAGTGTGCAAGTTTACCACTGACCAACATAGTGGCTATTTTTTGAATTATTTCTTTTTTGTGATTATTATTTTCCCTGTGAATCTTTCTTTTCTTTTGGAGGCAACTCTTTAACTGAAGATCTGCTTTAAGAGAATCTAAGAATACAACACTATATATTTATATATATTATGAAGAGAGAAAGAGATTCAAAAAATTGATTGAGGCTGCTCACCTTTTTCTTGTTGATGACTATGTTACCATACACCAAGATGTCATTAAAGAGAAAAAACTGACGTGGTTTAGGTTTTTTACGACACATCTTGGTTAGTACTCCCTCTCCCACTAACACACGACCAGACACTGCAAGTGGCTACAGATAATAACATTAAGATGTAAGTGTCCATATACATAAACAAACAATTTTTCACCTTAAATTTCTTTCTCTAAAAAAATAACTGAAAACCTTAGTAATCCACCCAATTATAAGTTAGAGAATATATAAAGTTAACTCATGGACATATATATACATACATATGAGTGTTCTACAAGCCAAACTAAAGAGTTAACTCCTTAGTCCTTGCTAGTAAGTTACTTTTAAGAACTCAAACTATTATATTCTCCAACACATGCACATAAAAATAAGGCCTATCCTGGGCCTAATTTCACTATTGTGGGATGGTCCCTAGTTGGGCACCAATATGGAAATTTATTTTGTTTAGGACATATTTCCCTGCCTTGGATTTTAAAATGAGACCCCTCACGCACCAGACAGGTACTCTACTAACTGAGCTAAAAGGTTAAACCACTATTGTTTGTGGGTAATTCACTTTTAACAACTAAAACTACTACACTGTATTTACATATATTATTTTCATTTCTAACATACAGATATAAGCTGAGCTTTTCTGGACAGAACTGTTTTTTGGATCTCCTCTAAAACCAAAAATTAGATGGCACAGAAACAAATATATAATTACACAATTATATAATTTTATTTTGGCATATTTAATGCTGATACTTCCATGAAGAATGAATTTTATACTGTTAAAAAATAATTATAGTCTGTTTAATTGCACATTATATGGTGGATTTCAAATCAATATACTAAATGTTTTGAAAAAAAATTATAAAATGATATTAGCTAATACGTATATTCAACTATTGATTAAAATGCATGTATATTTTACTTAATGCCAAAGGAAAAAATTACAATTTCTCAATTATTTAATCAATATTTACTTAGAAATAAAATCCTACTAAAATTAAGGTTCAAAGAATGTATATCTGTTTTAAAATGCATATTCATACTTCCTTTAAACAATATAATACCTATGCCTAAATTCTATAACCTTTCATAGCGTTATTAAATTTATATTTATCCCTTTTTAAGCAGTATAACTAAAGATTTCTCCTTAGTTTTTGCCATTTTCACAAGTGTACAAAATATAAGCTTTTTCATAACCCTCTACTTTTATTCATGTGAAGGCATACACATGGAATGATGAAATCTTTAACAATAGGGTAATGGGAAGTGGGAAACAGAAAAGAGGAAACAGAAAAAAAGTTCACAAAATTTGGAGAAGATGCTGCTGGTCAATAAATCCTACCCCTAAATCCCTTCTTCAGCTTAAGTTTTGTTGAAATTTGAAAATGGAGTAAAACTGTGGATGATCCCCCTATTTTAAATGATGAGTTTAATGCCACCATAACAATATTATATTCAATTACCGACAGGTGGAAATATTTGCAAGCATAAAGTAAAAGAACTATGTGAAAAACTTTATGCAACCCTTGAAGAATGTTTCATATATGTTAAATCCTCTAATAAAACATTGAGAAATATTTCTTTTTGTCAGAATGGAAGATCAGATTAAATATTTTTTATGTTTCCCAATAATATATTTTTCTAAATCACAAAAAAATTCAAGATGGAGCTAAACAAGAAGATGATTTAGTAAGAGGAGTAAAAAATAAAAACTTCAAAAATAATATGCAAATTTATAGGAAACATTAGTTGATAAACTCACCTCCCCTGAACTGCCAAAGCAGCTTTCAACAGCAGCAATACGGCATGCATTGGCTTCACTGTTCACTGAAACAGAAGAAGAAAGCAGACCATGAAGTAAGTCTTGCATATTATAAGTACAATACAACCAAGAAATTATGAGCAGATTTACTTAACTCTGAAGCACTCAGGTGTGTCAGTTTGATGCACTAGTTGTATGGTTTATTTTATTGTATTGTAAAAAAAAAATCCTCCTCCCGTATGAAAATTTTTGAAACTTGAGATGAACTTTTTAAACATTATACACCTTCTGCAAAATAAAATATTCTTGTATGTAACATTTGTATGAGATCATGAATTTTGAAAGAATTCATTGTGATAATTTTTAGGAAACAAGTAAAAATGTTTATCCTTTTTGTAGATTCCTGTTATTGATTTTTATTTATTTCTTGATTCTTGTAGAACTTTCCAATAAAATTCTTATTCAATAAAACTATAAGTATTATCTTTGTTTTGATTTAAAAACACCACAGTTTCACTGTGTTTATTATCACTGACATACAATAAAAATAGCTCAACAGCTCTTTCACCATACCAAAACTTTAAGCCCAATTTTTTAAATCAGGTTTCATGTAATACAAGTAAGAAGTTTTAGACCTATTTTATAATAATTTATATAGATATATATATATATATATATATATATATACACACACACACACACTACATACATACATAACAACACTTATATTAAGGGTAAAGGTTTTGTTCAAAATTATCTTGCAGTTCTTTCTAGGGGGCTATATTATGTATATTATATTGTATATGTACTGTATTGTTCTCAGAAAAAAATTTAGGAGATTCACAATAACCTATGTTTTCATCATAGTGTGCTGAAAAAACACAAAATCAAAATTCTGTTTGAATAAAAAAATTGTTATTGAATAAATCTAAACTCTGAAGTTCTTGTTGTTTTTTTAAATGTGTGGAAGAACAACTTCAAGTTTATTTTCCATAATTGTTTTAATTCAGTGGAGCAATTCTGTCCTCAGGGCAGGATGCACTCAACCGGACAGGGTAGAGTTAATGTTACATCTGAACACAGCACATTAAAGGTTATTACCACGGTGATGCCCGAAATGCAAGTAATTACTTAGGTTAGAAGAGACAAGATGCATTTCTAAGCACAGGACTTTCACCAATGAGTCTACAAATGATTAGGCACGATAGTTAGGTGGCCATTCTATCACATGTAACATACACTAAAAAACTAACCTATAATTTCCAAGTGTCAGAACTGATACATATACAGAAATTCATGCTTCTAGTTGCTAAGTAAACTAATTTTGTTTCCTGATACAGGGGGCATTACTATAGTGCAGCTTTACCTACTCTATAAAGTTACTAAACATATACTACACATATGCATGAAATCTCAGACAAGAACATCTAAGTAGTTCTATAATTCACTAATAAAAAATATACAAGAGCTTGATTAAGTTTTTTTGTTACATTTTCCATTTGAGATAGTTTGAAAATTCATCTGTTTGACCTGGCAAGTGAGAAAAACCTTCTTACCTTAGTTCCACTTGTTTGTCATTAGAAAATAAAGACTGGTAAAAAATTTTTAAATACACTTTCTGGTATATATTTCCTTGTGTTAATCTGTGCGCATTTCCTTTACATATTCAAGTATTGTCATGCCATGATATTGGCTTTTGAATGAAATGCATTATTTTTGGAGATATACTCTATTTATTGGAATTTAACAATGCTTAATTCATTATGACTACTGTCTAAGTAGATATGTAATTCATAATGAGAGCATGCTTTTTTCTAATTGTTTGTAGTTTGATTGAAATACATCAATCTGATATTTACCTTGTGTCAAATGCATGAAACAATTTTGATATTGTCCTTTATTTAAGACAATAGAAGTGATGTTTACACAAGTTATAAAGTATTATGACATAATAATGCAACAAAATTTGTGTGCATGTACAGCACTTACACATTACAACTAGGCAAGTGAAACATGGCATCTACTTCCCCTACAGAGCAAACTGTGTAAAAAGTTAACACCAAACCTTGGATTTTAAAATATTAAAATAAATCTACAACAGAAATGACTTTTTTAACTAATTGTGAAAAACTTGGAAGCCAATGAATTTTTTTAAGTCTTACTAGTTATACTACCAACTTTTAAAGCTTAGAATCCATTTACTGTTGTCCTTAAAATGCCTATATTTAAGCAACTTAAAGTTGATAATTTCAACAAAGAACTGTCAATAAAAGAATTATCAGCTGTACAAGCCAGTTGGCACACATCCTATCAAAATTACGCCCTTAAAAACAAACATGTCAAATGAAAAGCACAAAATAATCTTGTTCACTTACCAGAGTCACACTGAGGCTCCTTATTTTGTGTCATAGTTTAATATATAACTAATTGACAAAAGTTATAACTGAACTGCAATTTTTCTTAGCGTAAATATGACAACTTCATCTAATGAAAGCTCAAACATACTGCTTTGCAATATGCCATTCTCTCAGAACAGAATCAATGTGTTCAAAGAAATTACTGTGTGGTAATTACTCACTGTTGAAGATAAGGTACATGTAACACAAAAGCCACAAACTTATGACTAATCAAACCCAGTTACAGTAAGTATGAAAATGAGTAATAGAAGATAAAAACTTGACTAAGGAGTAGACATATGTGAAATTACACATTTGGTATGAATGTTGTCACAAATGATGAACACAAAGTAAAACCACCACAAACTGTGACACTTCCTGATAGCTAAATGCAGCAGTAACTATTACTATCATTATTTTTAGTGATGTGTATATGGAAAAACTAAATAATACAAATTTATCTAGGCAATAAAACAGAAAAACACATGAGATTTATAAAATTTTGAATTCAAAATGGTTAAGTTTTCAAAAGAATTTTCTTTTTAGTATCAACATTTTCACTTTTATTTTACCCCCCCTATACAGAATTAAAACCTGGTCAAAGACCGGTTTTCACTATTATGTAGTAGAAGCTGTTAATACAGGCTTTATCACAACATAGAGAATAAAACAAGTTTTTAATGGTGAACTAACAAAAAATACTTTTTCATTCATATAATTGTTCTCACTTCTACAGAAAATCCCTTCAAGACTTAAACAAATGGATGGAATTGTCACAAGTTTTAACAATAAAAATTAAAAAATTATTAAACAGTTTTAATGAAAGAAAGCAATCCTGAGTGCGACTTTAACACAGGACTCTCATTTCATACTAGGATCTTGATATTACAGCAAGTTCAACATCATCAACTAATTACTTTAGTTATCAAACATTAAAAAAACTTGTCTTAAGTTCACCACGGTATATTAAACACTGAAAGAAATTAAATTTTTCACAACTGTTACTTAAATAAACTAAATAAAAGATAACAAAAAATGTTCACACTAATAAAGGTTTCAGTAACTCTCATTTCTACTCAAATAGACCAACCCCATAATGGAAAAGGAATACTGACTATAATTTGCAGTTTACTATGTGTACCTACATGAAATGTGACAAGCTTTTAGTAATGTGTACAAGCCTGTTGTATATAAAAAATCTAATGTGTTACAAAACTATATGTACTAAAGATGTATCTGTGAATTGCTGATGTTAGTCTGACTTAGAAGTCAGACTGCAAGGTGATGTTCATGTGAAGAATTAAAATACTTTTGTCCATTGCACATTTTGTATATTACATTTACATAACCTCTAGAGCCTCCGAAATGCACATCTACAGTTTCTTTCAGCATCCCTGTATATCAATAAGTGGATGAATAATGATTTATAAGCATAATAAAGTGATTTATTTTTTGGGGAACACACTACATGTTTTGACAGAACATTGGTCTGTCTTCTTCAGATATTGTATGTGGTTAAGCAATACATGGTTTATATATATAAATACAGAGACATAAAACACAATGGTGTATGTAAAGAAAATGACATCACCAGGTGACAAGATTATAGATAAAGGTCAAGGTTGGTCAAATGAACAAGCAATGAACAAACTTAACCAAATATGGCTGATGTTGCTAGGGTCATTATCAGCATAATGTGCTTCCTTATTCAAGTATCCCTGTATATTGTATTTGGTATTTACTCTCCTCACCACAAACTTTACTAAATCAGAATGTATGATAAAATGAATAGTCCATAACTTTGACATAAAATATATAATACTATGTTGAATGACACTCTGTAAAAGGTTATGGCACAAATACTTTGTTCCCTACCAATGCAAGTAGCTATAGGTCTGAAATCAAGATAAAAATCGTGTAAAATTTATGAAAAATGGGTCATACAGTAAATCAAAAGCATTTAAAAAGTAAAAGAAAATTTAAAATTTAACCAATTAATTTTTGTTGAAATGGAACAATATTTTCAACATACATAATGAAATTTATATTGAACTGATTTTTTATAGTATTTTAGTGAATAATTAATAAATAAGTTACTATGCAGTATGAAGTTTCTTAAACAATGTCTTCATTTGTTGCCCAAAGGCACATAAACCATAAAATTAAACAGGTACAGTCATTGAAAATCTCTATGTAACATTAAAAAACAAATGTGTACCAATTTATTTAACTCATTATACCAAACAGTTCCATACTGTTATTGTTTTAAAGAACAATTATATTAACTTCATACGTAAAACTAGATATATTTCAAGTGAAAATATGTAGTTGAAGCAAAGATTTTGACCTGTTTGAAAGCTACAAATACTCTTTTTTTTTACTTTTTTTAACTCTAATATTAAATACACAATCAATGACTTAAGTCTAGCAACATATTAGCACAGATCTATATTGCCACACTGCTCAGCTAAGTGTCGCATAGTTCTTCTGATTAACTAATAGTAGTTCATCAGTAAAAATATTATACTTATTAGTTTGGATGGTCTTAAACTATGGGAATTTCAACCAAAAAAAAGTAAATAAAAATGATGGCAACTATACTAGGGAAGGCCATACACTGAAAAAGAATGGGATATATATATATATTGAATCTTCTCCAAAATATCTTTGACAGTATATATATCAGTTAATCATTTTTAGTAGCACTGTTTGTCTTGGAAGTTTACAAACTGTCTCTCTCTCTTCTCAAGTATTATTTTTACTCTAAATTGTGTTTCAGTCAGGAAATGACTTTGCTATGTTTCATTTCATAGACTGACTAGATTACCTGGCCTTGTGTGAAAACAAAAGTGTGTGTTACACCTTTATTAAATAAACTAACTTCACAATATGTGCATCCAGGTATGTGATAAGTGCTACACTTGATATGTCGTTTAATAAGTAATGAATAAACAGACTGAATAATGCATTTTTATTAAATTATCTAACACACAAATATCAAGGCAGCAGTTAGAAAAAAATTATGTTGGCAGGTACTACGAAGCAGTTGCCTTCCTTCTAGTCAGCAGTTCAAAATTAGTGATAGTGGCAGACAGCCTTAGCAGCTTTGCCATAACTAAGACAAGCAAGTCTGGTGACAATGGGAATTCTATCCGAGACCCTTGAATCATGAGTTGAAATAATCAAAATCAGTAATTATTGAAAAAAATAATTTCTATCAGTTGATTATTTTTGCAACAATCTATTTAAATATAATTTCAATTAATCGACTGTCAATATAATCAAAAACATTAATAATTTGAAACATTTATTTCAATTCATTCATTTAATCATAATACAGGCCTGCAAATTAACTTCATAAAAGTTGTTTTGGTTTTAATAAGCTACACAGATTTCGAACATAATATTAATTTTTTTTCTATTACATAAGGATTTTTTACAAATCCGGAAGAAAAACAACTCTTACTTAGATCAAATTATTATTTTGTTTACCACAATGAACATTTTTTATTATTATGTTTGTTAACAACAATACAAACAAACAAAAGAAAAGGGAAGAACAGTGATGTCAAATGAATATGCATCCTCATTCATCCTGATTTTTTTGGGGAAATATACATCTTTTAGTCTCAAAACTATACATTGTGGTCTATCTTTTATGTATTGCATTATGACATTTTGTGAAAAATCTCTGCATTATGGAGAAAAATGGATATAATTTTCAGATGCAGCATATAGGAATTACTGTAGAACATGTAAAAATTTCCAGACAACAAAACCATTGCAGGCCTGTATAATTAAATGGTTAGTTATATGATATTAATTGGTGTAATCACTGCTCATAAGGTAATATATTAAATTGCACAGCTTTACATTATCCTTTCTTTACCAAAATTCACATTTTGGTGAGGGATAGGAAACTCACAAATAAACAAACAGATCACAGCTGAACTCTTCACACTAAGCTCCAAAGTAACTTCTAAGTTTCATACTAGTGGTAGTAGATCTACCATTCTGGCAAATCTAGTATTTTATATACACTGGAAAGTGAACTACAGAGCACTGCTATCTACAGATCAACAGTAAATTTACAAAGGTTGTGCTATTTTGTGGTAATTACAGAAAAAATTTAAAACTTTAATATCAAGTTAAATTTAACATCATAAATATAAATGCAACATCTCTTCAAAAAATTAGAAAAGGGTATTTATTTTCAATCTGTTTAACATAATAATATTTTGATAGCACAAAAGCCACATCCTTATATTTATAATACCACTATCATTCCTGTTCTTATTACTAAGTATTAAGTAGCCCAAAATACAAGAATTTTAAGTAAACATATTTTTGTTGGGTTTTTTCCTGTTGATATAATACTGCCTTGAGTTAATGGTATACATTAACCAGTTAGATTTTATGTAATATATTTACTTTTGAGCAGTACATTAAACCACAATTTTAGGAAATTTCACTGAAAAAAACCAACTAAAAACTGATTTTATAATGTGAAATATTTAAAAGTAATAGTTATTAAGATGTTTTCAATCAAAATGGAAAAGCAATGGCATATTTTATATTTCAACTCAGAAAAATGTAAAACACTTGAAGTCCTACGGATTACATTATTTAGACTCCCCAGCATGATTTTCACACTAAAATTTTTATTTATGAGATTAAACTATTCTAACTTCTAGTATGAGTGACTCAACATACAAACTTACACAGGCAAGTGGAATATTTAATCAGTATTTCATATAGTAGAAATGAGTTTCAAATTCTGGATTTTTTAGTCATTTTATCTATTATTATATATAAAAATTATAATATAGTTTAAACAATGAGCACTTTGATCCAACTCTCTAAATTAACTGCTATTACACTGATAGTGATAGGCAGTCTACACTAAATGATTTAAACAATGCTTCTAAGTTCTAATAAATTCTATAATTCTAAAGTACTATAAAGTTAAATTTTAATTTTAAATTACAAGGTAAAATTTTCTAAATTTACCTGAACTCAAGAAGTTAAGATTTCCAGGATTTTT